AACTTAATAGAAATGGACGGTTGTGATCTGTGACATTTAACACATTTATCGACCACTTTAATTTACATCTTTAAATAATCTTTATTTGGGGGATCTTCTGTGCTAATTTTGAGGCATGGGAAAGGGTTAGTATGGTTAACTAAAACCGGAAATGTAAAATTATGTTCAAACTTCAATAAAATAAAGACGTAAAAAAAAAAAAGTTGAATAAATATATACACAGTTATAAAATTTGAGTAAAATTTTGTTGTAGTTTTTTTTTTTTTGCTTAGTGACAGTATTACTGTTTTAAAATAATAAATGTTGTATTTCAAAGCACAACAAAAGCAGTGCATTGCTTAAGTAGGCTTCATCTACATTCAGACACATTCATATGTTATGTTTTGAACTACATACCAGTTAGGGATGCATCAATTATAGATGTTGGTTGTACAACTATATATATATACGACTATATATATATATCAGGGTTATCACAGTTGATGTGAATTCAAGCTTTATATTAGGTAAGTAGCTATTTAGATGAACTGATGTTGCCATCTGCGTTCATGCATGGATAATCATTTTAATAATATTTCGTCTAACATATCCTTTGTTTACATTGCACTGAAAGGCACGCACAACTCTCACTGTGAGATGTTTTCTACTGCGTACGCCCGGAAAGCCGCAAGTGTGTTGCTCCGCTTGTGTGTGCTTATTGTCATATATTCTTACATTAGAAATAACAAACTTGCAATATTTGATATGGGAACGGCCTCTGCCCCAGTTAATCCGGTATGTGTGCGTATTAGCCTCGGTGTACATACTTGGAACTTTAAACTAGCACACAGTAACTGAACTGTTGGCAACTTGTCATAACTTTGTTTAATTGCAGCAGTTTTGTTTTGTTCCGTGCAACAGAAATGCGGCTTAGAGAAGCCTTTACGATTAATTAACTGTCATGAATTAAAGCGCAGTTAATAGTAAAATCGGCTAATCGTTGCATCCCTATTACTGATATCAGTGCATTGTAAAAAAAGGCCTTTTCTACAAACACATCCAAATGTTTTCGGCTGCCCGCGCCATTCGCTTATGGTGACTCACGCTCTGAGCAGCCTTCAACTGCAGCTCGTGCTGTAATGAACAGACGCACGTCACTTCATAACTATAGCGGCGTTTTTTCGTTATTTTTGATGTTTTAGTCACTATTTAGAAGGCTGGAACAAATTGCCTCGGGGGCCAGGTTGAACAGGCCGCCAATTAAATAGCCCTGCTCTACAGTAACTTACTGGCAGCAGTTCACCAGTATCGCAAAAATACTGTAGTTACATTTACAGCACCATTTCTCCTGCTGTATATGTATTTACCCTGCAGACGCAGGATGCCAACATGTTGTCATATTGACGTAGTACTACAACGTCATGGGGATGTTGGATTTTGTTTGGAAACGAAAATCGGGTTGACGTCAGAACTCAACGTCTTACCTAAAATCAATCTAAAAAACAACCAAATATCAATATCTCATTAAACATGATGAATATCTAATCATGTTACACCTTGACGTTGTGTGGACATTACCACTATGACGTCTATCAAAGTTTGGATTTTGGTCACTTTCCAACACAACCTAAAATCAACCAAATATTAACATAAAATAACGTTGTCCTTAGACGCTGGCTAGACATTGAATTTTGGTCACCTGATGTCACGACCTAAATCTAACCTAATGAGGTTGGGTGCCTGCTGGGTACAGTATTGTATATCTTCATGGTAAAATGTAGTCATTTTCACAATGCAACTTTAAAATACAGTAACATACGGCCCTGGGAGTAAGTAAAGTAAAGTAGTACATTTAGTGATCTTCTTTTTTATTTTTGTAATTAATTATTGTAAACAAAATAAAAACAATTAAATTAATCAAATTATATATTTTATAAAAACTACACTGAATTAATTGCAAATAAAATGAGTGAATTTATTATCACATCATGTCAAATATGAATCCGCCCTAAATATATAAATAACTAAACAATATATCACAGAAATGTCTGTATTGTAAATATTATTATTATTATTATCATTATTATAATGATTGCTTTTAGGTGACAAATGAAGTTGTATGTACAAATACACATAGCACTAAAATAAATATTACTTTTAGTCATTTTATACTTTTAAAATGAAACAAATTTACCCAAACAAATGAAAACATTAGGTATGGATTTGAGCAAAATTAAATTTTAATGCTAAATGACAGTATTACTATCTGAAAGTATTAAAGTAGTATGTTTGGTCCCCCAAATTGAGGGTTGAGTGTTGGGCTAATGACCCACATCCCTAAAATTAGATGTTACGAAACACCAACATGGTGCGGCTAAATATCAACGTCAGTGTAAACTGCCCTGGGAGTAAGAAAGTAAGTAAAGCTTGATCAAATTATACATTTTATATATATAAAAAAACTACAATGACTTAATTGCAAATAAAATAGGTGAATTCATTATCGCATCATGTCTAATTTGAATCAGCCCCAAATATATAAATGAATAAAACAGATCACAGAAAAGGTTGTATTATTATCACTATTTTTAATGATTAATGTTTTTAAGTGACAAATGAACTTGTTTACATGAAAGCACTGAAATAAATATTACTTTTAGTCATTTTATAGTTTTAAAACGGAAACATTTACTCAAACAGATAATCAAATTACAATAAACTGTGTTAAAATAGGGTTTATTCAAGTTGCTTTGTTTTGAACAAAGATTATCTCAAATATTTGGCACTACAGAACAAATGTGGACATGATTTCAGCTTATATAAATCACATTAAGTTTTTAAGCTAGCTGCTTTGTACAAATACCTTCAACGGAATTGTAAATGACATGAAATGAATTTACCCCATATAAAATAATTAATAAATAATAAATATAAATTATTAAATAAATAAAAAATCTTTAATTCATTTGCAATTTATTTAAAATATTTAATTAAAACTGTTAAAATAAAATAAAATGAAACATTTTAATTTAATTTAATCACATTGTGTTATATTACACTGGGGATTAATGAAGTAGTTTTGCTTTACTCCAGTCTAATCCAAAATCTTACGTTCAGAACATATGGTGACCCGATTTCGTGACAATATGGGCACAAGCAAACTGCTGATGTAAAATCCGTCCTTTGAAAGCGCCCACAATGCATCTGAGCTCAGTGATTACAGTAACTTTGAAACTGGAGCATAATCACTTCAAATTTGTATGTAAACACTGACACAAGCGGAGCGATCGATCGAGAGGAAACGTGAGTGACGGTGACAAAATCAAAACGAAATAAAAGATGGATGAAAACGAGAGATGAGAGACGCGAACAGAGAGGTGAAAGGGAGGGAAATAAATAGAAGAGAAAGAGAATGTCAACACACTCTCACACCCCCCTGTCACGAAAGCTTGCTCTCCAAATGAGCAAGAACATCAGTAGAGGTGCGTGAGATGGAACTGTGACTGGGCTGCGTGGGTAAAGACCGCACTATCAAACCATCAAAGCTGGCTCTGTGTGCAAGTTCATATGGGGGAATGGGGAAAAAAAAATTTCGAGTGGTTTTTATTGTGGTTAGGGAGGGTCCCGAATGCCAAGAAAAGCACTGCAATACCACTTGAAAAAAGGTAAACCACTTACAGAAAACAAACATATAACACAGAAGTGGCTGTGTTGATTTTTTTAGAATTATTAATGTTTTTTGACAAATGAACTTATTAGTACAAATATACATGATAGCACTGAAATTAATATTACTTTTAGCCATTTTAAAATGGAAACATCCAAACAGATAATCAAATGACAATAAACTGTGTTATATTAGGGTTTATTCAAGTCGCTTTGTTTTGAACATAGATTCTCTCAAATATCTGGCACTATCATTCATGTTGTCCCAACACATATTAAGTTAACTTAACAACACTTAACAAATGTATGTAGATTGAACATAAAAAATTAAGTTGTTCCAATGAAATCTCAAGAATTGTGTTGTTTCAGCTTATTTTAAATAAGTAGTTTAAACAAGTTAAATATATATATATATATATATATATATATATATATATATATATATTTGGAGTGTACTGAACAAATGTTGACATCATTTCAACTTACAAACTTATTCAAATTACAATAACTAATAAATGAGCTGCTTAAAATTAATAATTAATAAACTGGTAACCCTTTACAATAAGGTTTATTAGTTAATGCATTTACTAACATGAACTAATCATGAACAATTATTAACATCCAAGTCCATGCTTGTAACTAATGTTAACAAGCATGGACTTGGATGTTAATAATGCATTTCTAAATGTTCAATTATGATTAATAAATGCTGTACAAGTGTTGTTCATGATTAGTTCATGTTAGTAAATGCATTAACTAATAAACCTTTTTGTAAAGTGTTACCTAGCTATTGTACTAAAAAAATAATTGAGAACAAGTGAGCAGTTAGTAATTACAACCAATAACACAAATAAATATAACAGAGCAATTAAACTATGCTAAACTCTATTGCAGTAGGGCTAACAGTGACTTTCTCTTTTATTGTAGATTAATGTTAAAGACGGCAGCATTATTCATGCATTTACATTGTCTTGTGTTCAATCTTTAAACTGATAAAACCTGAAACACGCATGAAGTTTGCAGCATTGGCTGTGAACTCTGAATAAATAAACAAAGTGCAACTGTGGTGGGCTAGGCTAGACTGTGGAGGACAAACACCAATCAGAAACTGCCACACTAACCCACTGTCGAAGAAAGACAATGCTTTGATAAACAGATATTGCGAAAAAGTGATATTGGATCGTTTCAAATATTCCAGTATCTTTACACATATCTCGAATATTGATTCCTCTGTTTACCAGAAATAACGTGGGGTGTAAATGTTATGAAGTGCAAGAGCAAAGATTGTGACAGATAGCAGCTGAACTTGCAGATGAGTGCAAGTACATGTGTGTGTTTGTTTGTAAAAGGCTCACCTCACTCTTGAGTTCAGCGATCTGCTGTCTCAGTTCAGTTATATACTGTCTGGAGTCTGAGTGATTCAGCTGGCCCTGGATCAGCCCTTCCTCCTTCTGCAGGCAATACGTACACACACTTTAAGAATATACATACAGAAAGCAAACTACCCAGATAGCAGAATTTTTGTGGCCCAAATTCGGCCCACACTAAACACTTACATCTGACAAATAAGCCATATAATACCACATATAGACCAGAATTCAATGACAAATGAACCAGAACTGACCCTATTCAGGGCCACAGTTTGCTTCTTTTTTTACACACTAAAGACTACCATCTGACCCACATAGCCAGAGTTTACTGTGCCGAATATCTGCCCAAAAATGGCCCACATATGTTTTAAGATAACTAGGCCACATTTGCCATATTTCCTCTGGGCCACTTTAGGTCCACAGCCGCATTAGCCAGAGCTTACTGTGCTAAATATTTCCCAAAAGTGGCTCACATATATTTCAAGATAACTGGGCCACATTTGTCATATCACATTTGGGTCACTTTAGGCTCACATCCACATTACCCAGTGTTTACTATGCCAAATTTTTACCAAAAGTGGCCCACATATGTGTTAAGATAACTGGGCCACATTTGTCATATCACATCTGGGCCACTTTAGGCTCACATCCACATTAGCTGGAGTTTACTATGCCAAATTTTTTGCCAAAAGTGGCCCACATATGTTTGAAGATAACTGGGCCACATTTGTCATATCACATCTGGGCCACTTTAGGCTCACATCGATATTAGCTGGAGTTTACTGTGCCAAATATTTGCCAAAAGGGGCCCACATGTTTTAAGATAATTGGGCCACATTTGCCATATCACATCTGGGCCACTTTAGGCTCACAACCACATTACTCAGAGTTTACTATGCCAAATTTTTACCAAAAGTGGCCCACATATGTTTGAAGATAACTGGGCCACATTTGTCATATCACATCTGGGCCACTTTAGGCTAACATCCACATTAGCTGGAGTTTACTATGCCATTTTTTTTACCAAAAGTGGCCCACATATGTTTGAAGATAACTGGGCCACATTTGTCATATCACATCTGGGCCACTTTAGGCTCACAGCCACATTAACTATAGTTTACAATGCCAAATTTTTGCCAAAAGTGGCCCACATATGTTTTAAGATAACTGGGCCACATTTGCCATATTTTTTCTGGACCGCTTTAGGCTCACAACTACATTAGCCAGAGCTTACTGTGTCAATTATTTGCCAAATGTGGCCCACATTTGTTTTATAATAACTGGGCCACATTTGCAACTACACGTGAGCCACTTTACCAGATTACCCTTAAATGACTATGCCACATTTTTGCCAACTGTGGCCCACATATGTTCTTTATCATTTACGCCAAATTTACCAGTTTCCACATGGGCCACATTAGGTGCACATTCAGTTTACATTTTGCCATAAGTACCAAATCTTTGCGCTCAATGGCCCATATATGAATTGAAATCTTTGGCCCCTTTTGTCATTGTACAGGTGGGCCATTTCAGGTTCACGTTCATTTTGTCTGGGCCGAAAGAAGACCACCAGTGCCGCATAACTGCCTATAGTGGCCCACACTTGTATGCTATCTGGGTAATATCCAATAGAAACACAAACATTAAGTTGTCAGGAGATATGGCCAATATCATGTAAGCTTTATATTCAGACAGGTCCCAAAACTAGCATTCTGTTGCACGTGCCAGTAGTTTACCAGTATTTAATATCTTCTACCTGCCATGACACTGCATGTACATTTTTTTTTCTTCCAAAGCTGAAAACACTGATGAAAACACTGAAAACTCTGATGATAATGAAATGGCCAGCCTAGAGTCCTGATGTAAACCTGACTGAGACTCTTCTGGAAAATCTTTTTTGGTAAGGTTATGGTTAAGAAAGCCAGTGCAGTCACTGAAATGTGGAAGACACTAAAGAAGAGATAATTAAAATCACACTGTACATCGACTATGTAACAAAACAATTTGAGTTGCTCAGGTTTACATTTACCCTGGAAAAATAATCATTCATTCATTCATTTATTTTCTTTTCAGCTTAGTCCCTTTATTAATCTGGGGTCGCCACAGAGGAATGAACCGCCAATTTATCCAGCATATGTTTTACGCAGCGGATGCGTTCCAGCTGCAATCCATCACTGGGATACATCCATACACACTCATTCACACACATACACTACGGACAATTTAGCCCACCCAATTCACCTATACCACATGTCTTTGGAGTTGTGGGGGAAACCAGAGCACCCAGAGGAAACCCCACGCAAACCCGGGGAGAACATGCAAACTCTACACAGAAATGTGTGGAGTTTTCATTTGATTGTGATTTAATAATGTGCACATTTAGTAAAGCTGCTTTGAAACAATAATTATTTTAAAAAGCTCTCTACAAATAAACTTGACTTAAATTGAATAAATAATGAAATGGCCAGCCCAGAGTCCTGATGTAAACCTGACCTAAACTCTTCTGGAATTTTTTTTTGGTGAGGTTATGGTTAAGAAACTGAACTGTGGAAGAGACTGAAGAAGAGATAAACAAGATCACAGCAGCGCAGTGTGAGAAACTACTGATGTAGTGAAGTCATTCATAGCAAAAGCCTCCTACTCATTTTTCACTGCTCTGATCTTCCGAAATTTTAGTTGAAATCTTTCTTTGTGCTACAATCACTGCTTTTCTCTATTCTCTGCTATTTTGACCATTGTTTTTTCCTTAGAAGATAGGGATTGTTGACTCATCTTGGTTATTTGTGACCCTGGAACACAACTGGAACTGTCTTAATTTGTATGAATGAACTTTTTACAGTACCAAAAAATACAGAGCTCAGCATATACATTTACATTTTACATTTAGTCATTTAGCAGACGCTTTTATCCAAAGCGACTTACAAATGAGGACAAGGAAGCAATTTACACAACTAAGAGCAACAATGAATAAGTACTAAAGGCAAGTTTCAGGTCTGTAAAGTCTAAGAAGGGAAGTGTTAGTAGTTTTTTTTTTTTTTTTTTTTGTACAGTTAGTGTGATATTCAAAGAGGCAATTGCAGCTTAGGAAGTGAAGTGGAGACTAAATAGTTGAGTTTTTAGTCGTTTCTTGAAAATAGCGAGTGACTCTGCTGTTCTGATGCAGTTAGGGAGTTCATTCCACCAACTGGGCAGATTGAGCGTGAGCGTTCGCGAAAGTGATTTTTTCCCTCTTTGGGATGGAACCACGAGGCGACGTTCATTCACAGAACGCAAGTTTCTGGAGGGCACATAGATCTGCAGAAGTGAGTGCAGATAAGAAGGTGCTAGGCCAGAAGTCACTTTGTAGTCAAACATCAGAGTTTTGAATTTGATGCGAGCAGCAACTGGCAGCCAGTGCAAACGGACTAGCAGCGGAGTGACATGTGCTCGTTTAGGTTCATTGAAGACAACTCGTGCTGCTGCATTCTGGAGCAGTTGAAGAGGCTTGATAGAGTTAGCTGGAAGCCCAGCTAGTAGAGAGTTGCAGTAATCCAGTTTGGAGAGAACAAGAGCTTGAACAAGGAGTTGAGCTGCATGTTCAGATAAGAAGGGTCGGATCTTTCTGATGTTATAGAGTGCAAATCTGCACGATCGAGCAGTTCTAGAAATGTGGTCAGAGAAGTTTAGTTGGTCATCAATCGTTACTCCAAGGCTTTTCACCATTTTGGATGCAGTAATGGTTGCCCCATCCATCTGGATTGAAAAGTTATGGTGTAGAGTCGGGTTGGCAGAAACTACAAGCATTTCCGTTTTTGCGAGGTTCAGCTGAAGATGATGATCTTTCATCCAGTGTGAAATATCCAACAGGCAGGCTGAGATACGAGCTGGAACCGAGGGATCATCAGGATGAAAAGAGAGGTATAGCTGGGTGTCATCAGCATAGCAGTGGTAGGAGAATCCATGTCTCTGGATGACTGGTCCTAGAGATGATGTGTAGATGGAGAAGAGAAGTGGCCCAAGAACAGAGCCTTGAGGTACCCCAGTGTTTAGATGCTGTAGGTTGGACACCTCTCCCCTCCAAGACACCCTGAATGACCTGTCAGAGAGGTAAGATCTAAACCATTGTATAACAGTGCCCGCAACGCCCAGTGACTCAAGCGTAGATAGCAGGATCTGGTGGTTGACAGTGTCAAAAGCAGCTGACAAGTCCAGCAAAATGAGGACTGATGATTTAGAGTCTGCTTTAGCCAGTCTGAGATCCTCCACGACCGAGAGCAGGGCAGTCTCAGTTGAGTGGCCTTTCTTAAAGCCGGATTGCTTGTTGTCCATGAGATTGTTTTGAGTAAGAAAGTCCAGGACTTGATTGAACACTACTTTCTCCAGAATCTTGGCCATGAATGGAAGCAGGGATACTGGTCTGTAGTTTTCAAGTAGCGTATGGTCCAGGTTGGGTTTCTTTAGCAGTGGGGTTACCCTAGCCTGCTTAAATGTAGTGGGGAATAAACCAGAGTCAAGAGATGTGTTAATTATGTGAGTCAGTGTTGGTATGACTGCAGGAGAGATGGCTTGCAAGAGATGAGAGGGAATGGGATCGAGTGGACAGGTGGTTGCATGGCTAGATAGCACAAGTTTGGACACCTCAGACTCAGAGAGCTGAGAAAAAGAGGTGAGTGTGTGTGGTGTTGGTGTTGTATCTTGCGTGTTTGTTGTAGGTGCAGCAAATTGAGCACTGATTTTTGCAGTTTTGGTGCAGAAGAATGTAGCAAAGTCATCAGTAGTAAGTGTGGAGGATGCGGGTGGAGGAGGAGGATAGAGGAGGGAGGAAAATGTTTTAAAAAGTAGGCGAGGATTAGTGGCATTGTTGATTTTCAGACGGTAATACGTCTGCTTTGCAGAAGTAACCTCAGCTGAGAAAGAGGACAGAAGAGTTTGGTATGTTAAGAGATGTGCAGGATTTTTAGTTTTCCGCCAAATTCTCTCTGCAGCCCGAAGTTTTGAGCGATGCTCACGGAGAGCATCCGAGAGCCAGGGTGCAGGAGGACTGGCACGGGCTGGCCTGGATGCAAGAGGACATAATCGGTCTAGACATGATGCTAGTGTGGAGCAGAGTGTATTAGTGGCACTGTTCGAATCAAGTGCAGTGAGTTTGCGAGATGGAGGAAGAGAGTCTGAAACAATGGTGGATAGTCTATTGGGTGAGAGAGATCGTAGGTTTCTGCGAAAGGTAACCAGTGTTGGAGTGTGTGGCGGCTCAGGAGTAATGTGGATGTTGAGAGACAGAAGGAAATGATCAGATATTTGTAGTGGAGTTACTATTGTTTGATCAGTGAAGCAGTGTCGTGTGTAAATAAGGTCTAGCTGATTACCTGATTTGTGGGTAGCAGAAGTAGGTGCTCTTTTTAGGTCAAAAGAGGCAAGCAGAGTCTGAAAGTCTGCAGCTTGCGGTTTGTCAACGTAAATGTTGAAGTCACCTAGCACCAATAAGGGAGTGGCAAAATTAGAAAAAGATGAGAGAAGAACATCCAGTTCATCTAGGAAGTGACCTAATTTACCTGGTGGGCGGTAGATGACAACCACATTTATGTAGAAGGGGTGGATAATGGTGACTGCATGGAATTCAAAGGAGCTGATTGTTGGCAGGGACGGTATCAGAGTAAATTTCCATTCTTTGGAAATTAGTAGTCCAGTCCCACCCCCTCTCCCTGTCTGACGAGGAGTGTGGGAAAAAGAGAAATTAGCAGAAAGAGTAGCATGTGTAGCAGTGTCCTCCGGCCTCAACCAGGTCTCAGTTAGAGCCATGAGATTATAGTCAGAATATGTAGCTATGGAGGTAATAAAATCAGCCTTGTTAACAGCTGATTGACAATTCCAGAGGCCCACGGAGAGAGAGAGTTGTGAAATAGTAGATACATGTATTGAACGAAGGTTGTGAGGATTACGCCTGCAGCGCACCTCCCGTGTTTTGCGAGTGTTAGTAACAACAGGAATTAGTAAACACATAATAAAAGTGCACTGACAACAAAAAATAAGTGTAAAGTAAAACAATAAAGTAAAGTACTCAAGTGCTTTGTCGGTGTCTTTGCTCGGTGGAGTCGCGCAGGTAGAGTCGATGGTCTTTACCCTCGTCGGTCTTCACACGAGGCGGTCTTCACACGAGGCTGCCGCGACCGCTGCCGCGGTGAACTAGTTGTTTATATAACCCCAAAGCACTAGCTGATTGAATTCAGCTGGACACGCCTCGAGAGTCAAAACAAGGGCCGAAACTGAGGCGGACGACGCGAACCGCGTCTGCGTTCGCTACACAAGCTCTTATAGTAACCAAGGAAACAGTGGCTAAACAACTTCTAGTATTATACACAACTGAAAGCAAGTTTAACTGTCCTACAACTTTACACAAACAGCTGGAAACAAGTCCTCAAACCATACACAACAACTGAAACAAATCTTAAATGTACTTACAGGCTGCTGTTCTAGATGCTGCTAAAGTGCTTCTCCTGCCGACTAATGCTACCGTGCTCACTATATAGTGGTTACCTGGCGTTTGGACACGCCTCCCGAGTCAAAACAAGGGCCGAAACTGAGGCGGACGACGCGAACCGCGTCTGCGTTCGCTACACAAGCTCTTATAGTAACCAAGGAAACAGTGGCTAAACAACTTCTAGTATTATACACAACTGAAAGCAAGTTTAACTGTCCTACAACTTTACACAAACAGCTGGAAACAAGTCCTCAAACCATACACAACAACTGAAACAAATCTTAAATGTACTTACAGGCTGCTGTTCTAGATGCTGCTAAAGTGCTTCTCCTGCCGACTAATGCTACCGTGCTCACTATATAGTGGTTACCTGGCGTTTGGACACGCCTCCCGAGTCAAAACAAGGGCCGAAACTGAGGCGGACGACGCGAACCGCGTCTGCGTTCGCTACACAAGCTCTTATAGTAACCAAGGAAACAGTGGCTAAACAACTTCTAGTATTATACACAACTGAAAGCAAGTTTAAATGTCCTACAACTTTACACAGACAGCTGGAAACAAGTCCTCAAACCATACACAACAACTGAAACAAATCTTAAATGTACTTACAGGCTGCTGTTCTAGATGCTGCTAAAGTGCTTCTCCTATATATAAGTACCTCCCCCACAAATCTGTCTTTTAAACTCAAATATTTAATATGAAGCTATACAATATTATATTTGTGCATATACATTAGTATTACATATACATTGTGCATATACATCAGTACTGCAGCCAAAACTGGAGCTAATCTAACAAAATAACTTAGGATAACGGTCCAAATACTAGTACAGCCAAATTAATATGTTAGAGAAAAATATTAAATACAAGTAAAAAAGGGAAAATCAAGAGAAACAAAAAAATTGAAAAATTTAGTTGAAATTTTGTAGGTTGTAACCAGTTTTTTTTTTGCAATACTATGCTTTAAATTAATTGTATCATCTGTCAATTTCTAAATATCTTGGGTGATTAAAATATGATTATTATAAATATGTTATCTGTTATAAATCTGTATGAATAAATCTGTTGTGGATGAATGCACCAAAATACATTGCCTATATTCACTGAGAAATGGATTAAATATTAATTTTCTGAATTGGGTGTACTAAATTATGCTGAGCACTGTACATTTTATGGGTCAAAATTATAGATTTTTTTTATGCCAAAATAATTAGAATATTAAGTAAAGACCATGTTCTGTGGAGCTATTTTGTAAATTTCCTTTCTCAGTATTTAGATTTTTTTGAACCCCCAGATTCCAGATTTTCAGATAGTTATATCTCTGCAAAACAATTTTCTATTCTAACAAATAATACATCAGTGTAAAGCTTATATATTACACTTTCAGATTTCAGAGTTTCAGAAAATGTACATGTATGAGTGGGTTTGTGGTCCATTTTGCAAAACATTTTTCTGACAGCATAGTATAGCTACAACTACAATTCCTTTTGAACAATAAAAGATTATATTCTTTCTGAAAAAGTATAATAAAATAAATGTATATATATATATATATATATATGACAAAAGTAAAGCTGTTTTACTTACATCTACAATTTATTGTTGTTTTTTTTCTCTTTGCTTTCAAACGTTTAACCATAGAACTTTTATTTTGGCGGAAACCACAGAGAAACCTTTCTTGTTGTGAAACTGTTAACAGCAGATCTACAGACGTCATTCTTACTACAAACTATGTTGTGTTTTTAAATACACGTTATAACTGAATCACAAAAATTTGTAAAAAGATCACAGCGCTGTTTCACAGACTACATATTTATGTTATCAAAACAGTTTTTGTGATGTTTGGCATTAAACAATAAAATCAGGAATGTTTACTGATTGCTAATATTTTCTAAACCAGTCAATACAAGTTAGTGAGCACATTTCTTACCTGTATTTCTAGATCTGCTATTTTTTGCCGAAGTTCAGCCATAGCAGCCATACTGTCAGCTTCTCTTAGACGCACTGCCATCACCTCTTCTTTGCTCTGAAAGGCAGATATATTATTTCAAGATGTAAATCATACATCAATATCATTTGCTGCTATGACTAATAACTGATAAATAGCGCGATACATTTAAAATCTACACCAGTATGTTTAACTAGATAAAAAACTTAAATTAAAAAAATGTAAATATAGACATCTCAGCAACAAAAACTACACACAAAAATAATATAAATATATGTATAAAATATAATATAAATATGTATAAAAGTTTTCAGAGCTGAAATTTAAATATGGTAATGGGCTTTTGTTTTTTGTGCGGCATAATAAGATGTAGACCAATAACAACAGACTAGGCCATCTGACCAATCAGAATAGAGCAGGCTTTTGGATAAAAGGGGTTTCGAGAGTCCAGATCCTTAAACAAACTCTTTCATACTACCACTTTTGGGCTGCACCCTGTTCGTTTTGACATTTAGAGTATGGTACGTTTAGTTAGTGTGAACGTTGTCTTCTGAAATCGGGTGCACACTCGTGAACCGATTTTAAGGCTTTGCTTTCGTGGCTGTCATCTAGCAACAGCTGTACATAAAACAGCAGCTTGATGACGCAAGCGTACCAGAGTTCAGAAGGAAAAAAGACAACGTGAACCCAAACCAGCCGAGGGGGGACTATTGAATTTGAGTTTGAACCAGGCATTTGAACCAAGCATGAAAGCCCCCTCACACTGAAACTTAGCTTTAATCTGCAAATATAATTTTAGAAGGTGTTTTTAAAAGTCTTAAAGTGTTTTTGAGTAGTCCTAAAATAAAAAGCCTCCAAAACAACATCAGGTACCATTACTACAGTACAGCATAATAGGTGCACTTTAAAAATGTCAGCCCCTGCACTGTTTTTCTCACTTAATATTCATTGATCTGTTCATCCTCTTTAATAAGAGTATGTACCTTGCAGTCAGACTCCGCCTGCTTTCTCTTCATTTCGTTAAGCTGGCTTTGTAGTGTTTTGTTGTGGGAAAGAGCGTTCTGCAGTCTCTCCTGTAGGCTGGTGCTCTCTTGTTCATGTCTGCCAAGTAGTTTGCCATTGATCTGGTTCTATGCAAACAGGGAGAAAAGTTTTAGGAAATTGTGTACACTACCTGACACAAGTCGTGTCGAAGATCCCGGTTGTAAGAGCAACAAATAATAACTTGACTTCTTGTTGATGATTTGGAAAAGTAGCAGAAGGTAGATTTTTCTGACGAGTCATCTGTTGAACTGCATCCTAACCATTACAAATACTGCAGAAGACCTACTGAAACCAGCATGGACCCAAGAAATCAGTCAAGTTTGGTAAAAGAAAAATCATGGTTGGGGGTTACATTTACTGCAAAAGTATTTATTTTTTTTGCCTTATAATCCTCTGATAACTGGAGTTCAAACACTGAAATATTTAAATCAGGAAATTTAATTTAATTAAGGAACAGCACAAAAACTTTTTGGTATTTCTAAGCACTGCGTTTGAATTTGATTAGTCTTAGTAATAGTGTAAATGGAATAGTCTTTAAATATAAAATAGCACTGATTGCAGTTCTAACCTGGCTTTCCAACTGCAGGTTTTTAAGCTTGACCTCTTTGAGTTCTGCCTGACCCTGAGCCTCTCGCAGCCTCAAACTCATCAGCTTATCCTGCAGCTCATTCATCGCATTCTTCTTAGGAGACTCTTTCCAGTGGCCTCCTCCACCTCCTCCTCCTCCACGAGATGTATGATGCTGTGACAGAAAATGACATTTGTGCATAATTAGATTTGTTGTTGTCCATTTCTGCCTTACAGAAATTCATACTTTTTAAAAGTGAATATAAAAACAATCAAGAAATGTAGATGACATTGCGTAGGCTTCAGCATGTTTGTGTGGAGATTCTGCACCTGCCAGCAGTGGTTGAGATCAGTGACGGCTTCTTGCATTTCTCTGAAGGAGCGCAGAGTCTCCTGCTCTCTCAGCTTCACCAGCTTCAGCTCCTCCTGCAGCTGAGCTACATTAATTTCATCGGGTAAAGAACTGTTCCTCTACAAAACAGACACAATTGGTTAACGTTCTGTACTTAAATAAAAACACTGCACTTTTTTTTGGAAATAGGCTCATTTTACACTCCCCTAGTGTTAAACAGTTGAGTTTTACCATTTTTGAATCCATTTAGCCGATCTCCGGGTCTGGTGGGTGCACTTTTAGTTTAGCTTAGCATAAATAATTGAATTGGATTAGACCATTAGCATCTAGCTAAAAAAAATCAATAAAAAGTGTTTAAATAATTATCCTTTTTAAAGCTTGACTCTTCTGTAGTTACATCATGTAAGTTGCAATTTCTAGGCCGATATGGCCAGGAACTCATTCATACATCCATCCATTCATTCATTCATTCATTCATTCATTCATTCATTCATTCAATCAATTATTCATTCATTCATTCATTCATTCATTCATTCATTCATTCATTCAATCATTCATTCATTCATTCATTCATTCATTCATTCATTCATTCATTCAATCATTCAATCATTCATTTTCTTTTCTGCTTAGTCCGTTTATTCATCAGGGTTCGCCACAGAGAAATGAACAGTCAACTTATCCAGCATATGTTTTACGAAGTGGATGCCTTTCCAGTTACAACCCAACACTGGGAAACACCCATACACGCATGCATTCACACACATACACAACCGTAAATTTAGTTTATTCAATTCACCTATAGTGCATGTCTTCAGACTGTGGGGGAAACAGGAGCACCCAGAGGAAACCCACGCGAACATGGGAAGAACATGCCAACTCCACACAGAAATGCCAACTGACCTAGCCGGAGCTTGAACCACCGACCTTCTTGCTGTGAGGTGATTTTGTAACGCACTGTGCCACCGTGTTGCCCTGGCTAGAAACTATACTATCATTATGTTGCAAAAATCAAGTAACTATGCTGCCATACTATAGCTGTGGCAGGCTCAATAAATTTACACAGCACCTGAAAAAGTCCTTAGCTAGGTAACTAGGTGACAGCTGCTTAATATTATTGCTCTTTGGTCATTTTAAATGAGATGCTAATGGTCTAATCTGATTCAATGATCTATCCTAAGCTAAGCTAAGCTAAAAGTTCTCCTGCCAGACCTAGAAACCAGTTAAAGGGATTAAAAAAATGTTAAAATTGACCTGTTTAACCTTAGGAAAGCTTTAAAATGAGTCTGTTTCAAAAACAAATGAAGTGCTTCTTTAATGGCATATTGTATTCTAAAAGAAACCTAATTAATTTTTAACCGTTTCATTCTTGTAAACTCATAAACATGCACACACCTTCTCCAAATCAAGCACTTTGTCCTGCATTTCTTTTAGAGCACCAAGTAGTTCAGCTTCTTGTAGACGAGACTGCTCCAGTTGAGTCTGCAGGCCACTCACAAACTCCTCTGTGTACTACAGACAAAATGGAGAGACACAATGGACTGAAACACTGATGACTGCAGAGTATGCTGTAATGGCAGTCATTACAGTACATCATGCATTAATGGCTGAACAGAGAAGAACGAATCTGACCCTGGACCACAAATCCAGTCTTATGTTGCATGGATTTTTTTTAAGCAATATTTAAAAATACACGATAAGGGGGGTCAAAATCATTTGAATATTAAGTAAAGACAAAGAGCTTAGAACGACCAAGAGGCGACACTCAATAGAACGTTCCACTGCAACAGCAGCGCCCAGCAACAGCCCTGGATTCTGCCATTTTGTAGTGAAAGTGATCGGCTGTCCATTGGATCTCATTACTGTCACGATGGCAAGCAGCTGCTTTGTTTTTTATTTATTTATTTAAAAAGCGCATTAAAGCTGAGATACAACCTAAAAGACGACAATACAACACTTATTATCACAAACATCAGCACTATTAATAGTTTATTTTACAGACTTATAATATGCTGTTGTTCTAATGGAGTTTTCATTCCAAAATGGCCACCCTCTAGTGGCTGTTTCCCAAATTACACTAGAGTGTCGCCTCTTGGTCATTCTAAGCTCTTTGGTAAAGATCATGTTCTATAGAAACATTTAAAAAAAAATTTACAGTAATTATATAAAAACTAAATTATTTAATTAGTTATGTGTAAAGCTAAAACTTACTTTTGACATTTTTTTTACTTTTTTTTTAAAGAGCCCATATTATGGGTTTTTGAAAATTCCCCTCCATGTAGTGTGTAACACAACTCTAAGTGAAGTATCCAGCTAAGGCTTAAATCTGTAAGAATACAGTGTTTAAAACTGTTGATTCATCTATAAAAGAGTCGATTCATAGTGCTTCAAACGAGTCGCCTTGATACTGACTCATTAGGTGTTTCGCCATGACGTACGAACGAAACAAAGTTTTTCACGTGCACGCGCAAACCCGGGAGATTTCAAACCTGAGGCCCCGCCCTCTGACGCAGTAACCCAGACACACACACACACACACCCACAAACACACGCACACAAACATGCCGGTCGATTGAAGTCACATTGCAGATGGATATATTGAGTCTCTACCCAAAGATGAAACCTCAGCATTATAGCCAAGCAGTTGGAAACTACTGGAAACTTCTGGAAGCTACATGCTACAAAGAATACTTCATCTGCGTTTGTTAAAGGAAGGATCAGTAACTTACTGATGGACATCAGGATGGGTTTCTTCCATTTCTCAAGTGTAAGTACGTGCGGTTAAAGTTGTTGCCTCGTTGACTCTAGCTTGCAAATGTATTTAGTTGTGTTTTGTTACTTGTAACCGAGTGTACTGTATCAGGTTAACTGGCTATATTCTCTTATCGCGTGCAAAGTCACGTTAAAAACGCGACGCGTGCTGCTTTGTTTATGGAGCTCCGTGGTAACGTTAGAGGTGTGCATACCCGCGGCTGTCCCCGCGCCAGATTTCTGCGGCGCGGGAATAAATTTCCGAATAAATCGCCGGAGCGGTCGGTAACGGGTTTGATTTGGGACGGGAGCGGGCTGCCTGAGAAAGAGAAAGATGTGTCTGCATGTGTGATGTGTGAGCGAGCGAGAGCTTTATGCTTGGTGCTGTGTGTGTGTTTATACAGATTTTCGGTTTTGTTCTCCCCCGCTCTTTAGCGTGATCGGGCGCGGCGGGCAGAATACGGGGCGTGTTCTAAGGCTAAAACCTGGCGGGTGCGGGCGGAAGCGGGAGCGTTCTCGTCCGGAGGTGTGTGTGTGTGTTTGTGTGTGTGTGGCAGCTAAAATCCACGCCTACACTATCTAGCGTGTATGAACTGTGATTACTTTTTAAATTGCTGATTAGCTATTGGCCATTTCACTCTCTGACTGAAGGCAGTCGACCAATCGCGACAGACTGTCATCGGTCCAATCAGCGCAGATTAGCTTCGCGCTAAGGAGGGGTTTGGGAACAAATGAATCACTGAACGATTCATACAGGAGTCGCTGGGATAATTAGGTAAAAATAAATGCAGATTATAAGACCATGAAAGTGTTTTTTGACCTTGCATGCATATTAAACTGTTGTTGGAGACCCTTACAACCAAGATATGACCCTATTTCATGTATAATATGGGCTCTTTAAATTATATTTTGAACCCTCTAGATCAGTGGTTCTCAAACTTTTTTCTCAAACATCGTCTTTCCAAGTACCACCATAATGACCAGTATTAAAATACAGTAGCGTAGGCATAACTAAGCAGCTGCAGCACCGCACAGTTCAAAAATGAGGCAGATTAATTCTTATTATTATAAAAAAAATTTATTGTCAGCCACTTTAAACATTATAAATAGTTTGAACATTAACACTGTACTTATACTTATATATGCCCCTAACAACCATTACAAATATGGAGAGGAAATTAGCTTCAAATGATACAAAACATAACAAACATTATAAAAGTGATATAAATAAAATTTTGTGACTCAGTTCAGGCAACATTTTGGCATCAGTAGCATTTTCACCGCAGTATCAATTTGATCGCAAAAACTATATATTTAGGGGTCTTATATATATATATATATATATATATATATATATATATATATATATATATATATATATATATATATATATATACACAATTTTGTGACTCAAAAGTAGCAGTTCGGGCAACATTTTGGCACCGGTAGCATTTTAAAAGTATCAATTTAGCACCGTTATCGAAATAACCCCAAAAAATTGTCAACCTTAGCCCAAATATGATAAGTCTGTCATGAAAACAAGATAGATTGTTTAGATTAAAACTTTTTTAGGCAAATAGTGGACTAGAAACATTACTTCATATTTAGATTTAGATGTATATGTAAAAAACAAAATCACACTGAATCAATTACATCAAATCTCACTGCTGTCAGCATTCTGTTAAGAAGTAAATAATAAAAGGTTATGTTTAATTGCCTAAAATAATCCCTCAATGTGATAAAATTACCGTAGATTCTCATGTCATAATATAACGATTCAGTATCTTCTTCTTTCCAATTAATTTTAAGATTATTAACTTGAACTCAACCAGTCATTCAGTAAGCGTGTACTCGGAAAGACCGATTCTGGAAATGTATTTAGATAATTCTCGCATTATCTATCAGTGTTGATGTAAATGCGCCTCTGCTGTGTTCTGCGTGCACATACTGTGGCCTACCAGAGGGGGCTGTGGCCTGCCCTGGAGACTTGTGTGAACACTAGTTCCCACGGACGTTTACTTCTGTTTTTCTTACCTCCCTCCAGGCTTTCCAGTCACTTCATCATACCCGTATTACTCAGATCGCACTTTAATCACAAAGACTCTCGCTCATTCTACCTCAGTTTTACTTGAAAAGTGCTGGACTCTTAGCTAAATACAAAACAAAACAGACTGATGTCCTTTCCGAGCAGAAATTAACCTTTCATAGTAGTAAATGAGTAATAACACACATCCAGATTCTACCTGTGAAATTTCACTGTATGTTTATACTTAAAGCCTTACAGCTTAATATGTATATTAGTGCGTGTATGTGTTTGTGTGTGTGTGTTTAAAGAGCATGTGAAAAATAGACCACCAATAACATTTCATGTTAACCACAGCAAGCTTCTTTGCTCTGGGTAATGAAACCATTAATCAGATTTAGGTTGAATATAAATAGCCAAAAACATTCACACTTACATATGCTAAAATCCCTGTCATATACAACTACACTGTAAAATAATTCTTCTTGCCTTACTTTTTTTTTTTTTTACTAATTTACTCGTCATTTCAACTAAAATTAGTCAAACTGATTTAAAATATCATGTTAAATTTTCTAAAACTAAACTAAAAAAACAAGCTTATTAAATTAAGTAAAAGTAACAAAGGCATTTGTTTTCATATATTTTTTTACACTGTACTTTCTTTTCTTAATTATACAGTAGTCAACATTTGAAGTTGATCAAAAACGTCTTTATTTTTTAATTGTCCCAGGACAAGAATTGGTGAAGTAAATTCACTAGTTTTAAAACAACATTGAGGAAAGGTTATGATCCACTTATTTAAAAATTTAGTTATATACTTGTATAATAATAATAATAATAATAATAATAATAATAATAACAACAACATTCAGCTCTGAATCAATTTAAGCAACACTACACTATCTGACAAAAGTCTTGTCGTTGATGCAAGATGTAAGAGCAACAAATAATAACTTGACTTCTAATTGATCATTTGGAAAAGTGGCAGAAGGTATTTTTTTCTGATGAATTATCAGTTGAACAGCGTCCCAATTTTTACAAATACTGCAGAAGACCTACTGCAACCCACATAGACCCAATAATCAACAGCCTGAGGTAGCCTGAGGGCAAATTCTTCAGCAGGATAGAGCTCCTCATACTTCAGCCTCCACATCAAAGTTCCTGAAAGCAAAAAAGGTCAAGGTGCTCCAGGATTGGCCAGCCCACTCACCAGACATGAACGTTATTGAGCATGTCTGGGGTAAGATGGAGGAGGAGGCAGTGAAGATGAATCCAAAGAATCTTGATGAACTCTGGGAGTCCTGCAAGAACACTTTCTTCGGCATTCCATATGACTTTATTAATACGTTATTTGATTCATTGCAGAGATGTATAGATGCAGTCCTCCAAGCTCATCGGAGTCATACACAATATTAAACCTTTTTCCACTGCAACACTGTACATTATTTCTGTTGTGACAAGACATTTGTCAAAGCAAAGTCAGACCTTACTGTCCTAAGTAAGTCATTAAAATTTAAGGCATGGTTATATTTTATTTGGGTAAAATAAGCATAATCTAGACGCCTTTGCCTTTCATATAAGCCACTTCTGATATCAAATGATCAACTAGAAGTCAAGGTATTACTTGTTGTTCCTAAAACGTGGATTGGCGACAAGACTTTTGTCAGGTAGTGTACATGATTTACATTCCAATTATTAGAAAAACAGACTGTCTTATTCATAAAATATAATAAAAAATAACAAAGAACAAAAATGTAGCTGTTGTACATGATACTAGTTCTGTCAACATCAGCACCGCTATCAGATAGTGGTCAATTCTGAGTGTAACACAGGAAAATACATCTGACCATACAGTGTTGCTCCGTGTGTGAAACACACCAGGCTCACACTCAGCATGACACACACCACACCCCAACATTTTCACACACACCAGTCACTCACACCTATAGTAAAAAAGCGAAAACTCCAAAAACACCCCATCTGCTTGATATCAGTGCTTTAGCATTCATTCTTACAACTTGTGAAAACAATATAAGAAACGAAACGATGGCTTCAAACGGTCAAACTAGTGCGAGAGTCCTGCCAGTAAATAATAAATGACCTGTCTGTGACCCAGTTCAGAGCTGTGTATAAGCCGATAGCTTGATTATGAATAAACTGAAGACATGCATACAGTTAACATAATAGTGTTTTAAAAGTACTACTTTCATATAGCATCTGACTTGTTCTAATTGGCATCAAGCAGTGTCAAAGTGAATCACAATGTCACTCCTCATGCACCTAAAAATGTTTGCTGGTTGTTAAAACTACTTATTTAAAATGTGTTAAGCACAATTCTTACATTTTTTTGGGACATAGCTATTATTTTATAAATTATAAATTATAAATTATTTTAAGTTTAATCCACTTAAATGTGTAAAAACTATTAAGTTAACTTAATTGATTTGTGTTGGACAAAATGAAGGAATTTTGTGATGCATTTCTGTCAGTGTACTCCTCGACTTTTCTGCTATTTCTGCGTTGAATTTTGCATAACAAAATCTGCAGATTAATGATTTTGAAAGTATAGGAACTGAAAACGTACGACATAAATTAAAGAATAAGTTTAATTTAAAGTTTAAAATGCAAATAATATTGAAACATTAACTATTGTGAAAAGAGATATACAAAAAAATCTGAATTGAACTGAAATCCAATTAGAACTACTTCTTTGGTAAATAAAGCAACATCTGGTCTCTCATATAATACATCCACTAAAAGATGTAAACTTTATTGTACATAAATCATCAAAACAATTGTTTATTATTCAATGATATAATCAAAATTAATATAAAAACTGAATACATTTTATCAAACTGGATTTTTAAGCCTATAATCATATATATATATATATATATATATATATATATATATATATATATATATATATGATAATGATAAGCTTAAAAATGTCAAGTGGGTGAACCAAACTGATTTTCTGCTTTAATAAGCCTTTTCGGGGGGTTTTCTGTTGAAGGGTTGTGATTGTTAGTCACTGCATGCATAAGCAGTGAGAAAGCGTAAGTGGAGTGGCAGGACTGTGTTGCAATGCTTTCACACTAACAGCGTTTTAGAGCTGTGGCGGTACTCATTGGGTAACTGCATCGATTATTTCCTCAAAAAGTGGCCATAAATTATAAAATGCTCGATGTAAACGGTTTAAATCATCTATATTTAATCAGACTTCCTGAACAATAAGTGTTCTCAGTGTTGTGCTTTGTGTATACACATATGCAGTGTCAGACAATCTTCAAATGATGGATGAGCAATTCACTCCAGTCATTTTGTGCAGCCTATATTCAAAAAGACCCTTAATAAACATATGTGAGGTCAGCAAATATTGAACCAGCACCAAAACCCAACTTGCAGCTATGCATCTGTTACCACGGCCATAGCAGAGCTGAGCCTGGCCGGTACCTGGATGGGAGACCCTATGAGAAAACTAGGTTGCTGATGGAAGTGGTGTTAGTGAGGCCAGCAGGAGGCACTCAACCTGTTGTCTGTGTGAGTCCTAATGCCCCAGTATAGTGAAGGGGACCTTATACTGTCAGTAAGCGCCGTCTTTCAAATGAGGCATTAAACCAAAGTGCTCACTCACTTTTGGTTTATTTAAAAATCCCATGGCACTTCTTGTAAAGAGTAGAGGTGTAACCTGGCCAATTTCCATCCATTTGCCCTTAGCCATAAGGGCCTAATCCAAATGGATGCTGCACACGGTTGGTGGTGTGGAGACACCCCTACAACCCCCCCGTCTCCCACTCCCCCTTATGATTGTGAAGCGATTTGGCCATACACAATAAACGCACTATTTAAATGAAGAATTCAGATCCAAAAACCTTTAAATGTCATCTGAAATGTTCTTCTAAAATGAGCATTTTTCTCAGTCTTCTGTGTTTTTATGGTGTCATTGGATTTTAAAGTCAATGAAAACACCATATTCAACACCATAACAGTGAAATATCTGAAAATACACATGTTAAAAATAAAAATGCTCATATCAGAGGAAGATTTCTGATGACATTTACAGGCTTTTGCATCTGAACTCTTCAAATACACATTACATTGCATTACCTTGTGTTGCTGAAGTTCACGTATAGTATCCTGTGCTTTCTCCAGACTCTCGCTGGCTGTATGACACTGCTGCCGGACCACAGCCAATTCACGCTTAATAACGTAGTTCTCCTCTGCCTCCTGGGCTCGCGTCACTTGACCCTGAGGAAAGAGAAATGGGGTAAGTTGCTTCCATTAAGATCTGTCTTTTCACTTGAGATTAAGAAGAGATAAGTGTGGCATTCCAGTCAAAGTAATGAGGGGGGATCCATGCAATGTTACCTCTGCATCATAAAAGCAAAGACGAAATTGGATCATTTGAAAAACAAAACAAGAATCCCACTGAACTTTGCGATTTATGTGATAAAACCTGAAAAATGCCATAGGACCAAATAGCGAACCCTGATGCACACCTATGCTTCCACATCCCACATGCAAGGCTACATTCTCAGTACAGAGTTTAGAGATTAACCTTCATTTGGACATTTGTTCTAGGCATACAGACAAATGTGTTCTGAAGGCAGTGATGGGAAACTTAGCACATTTTTCATGCAACAGTCCCATTTTATAAAGGACCAAAAGAGTGGATTATAGAAGGAAGTGTGGTTGAGTGATGAGGAGAGGAAGGGAAGGAGGGATTAGTGAGGAGCTGGCTTGACAGTACTGTACCTGAATCAACCTGTCTGCTAATGCAGCACTCTCCTACAACACCATAAGAGGAGGAAAAAAGAGAGAAAGGATACAGAGAGAAGAAAGAAAAAGTTGAAATGAGGGACAGAATAGGAAAAAGGAAGGAAACAGTGGATAAGCAAATAAGACACACATGAAGAGAAAAAAAGGGAACATATTTAAGTTGAGTGAAATTTTTTTTTTTATAAAACATATAAAAGTGATTTTTACAGAGTAAGATATTGTGAGGAAGTCATTTCAAAAGAGGAAGGAAGAGAAAAAGAAAGAAGATAAGACTTTTAAGATTGACCATAAGGTATGAGGCAATACAGCTGAGCCTCTTTAGAGATTTACATGCTCTGACTGTTTGATTGACTTGATAAAGATATTTACACTCTTTACTCAAACACAAAGTAATAAGCAGTATTTAAGGTTCATGCATACTGTGTGGATGATGAAAACCATCTTACCTTTTCCAGTGTTTCAATCCTCTGCTTCAGTAATCTATTTTCTGTACGTAGCCTCTGTTAAAATTAATACAAAATGTTCAAATATACTGTAGGTTTATTCTAAATTAATTTCAACCTCATTTTTACTTCAGTTTTATTTCTATTAGCAAAAAAGAACTGTAATAGATTTTATTAACTATAGCAGTTAAATTAACATTTATAATAACATTTATTTATTAGTTGAATATACAGTTTTGTCAAATTTATTCAAATTACTGACAATATAATTGTTTTATTGTGATTCGATTATGTGCAAATCATGTTCATGCAATTTTTTAAGCAAGTACCGGAGTAAGATTCTCCTTAAGGTGTAGATGAGGCATTTTACACAAACAATCTTTGCTATGTTACAGACCTTAATCTCAATTTGTTCTTCCATCTCCTTGTTCTTAATGGTAGTATATTCCTTTTCTAATCTGTGAAAAAAAATAAAAATAAAATCTAGACAACCATATCATATATACACTACCTGACAAAAGTCTTGTCGCCTATATCCAAGTTTTAGGAACAACAAATAATAACTTGACTTCTAGTTGATCATTTGGTATCAGAAGTGGCTTATATGAAAGAACAAAAATAGACAAAAGTCTTGTGACTTAAAAATAATGTAGAGTGTAGAATAATGTAAAGTATAGAATATAAAGTCATGGTGCAGTGGAAAAAGAATTAATATTGTGTATGACTGTCATGAGCTTGGAGGACTTAATCCATACATCTCTGCAATGACTCCAATAACTTATTAATAAAGTCATCTGGAATGGCAAAGAAAGCGTTCTTGCAGGACTCCCTGAGTTCATCAAGATTCTTTGGATTCATCATCAATGCCTCCATCTTCATCTTACCCCAGACATGCTCAATAATGTTCATGTCTGGTGAGTGGGCTGGCCAATCCGGGAACACCTTGACCTTCTTTGCTTTCAGGAACTTTGATGTCTCTTTTGACTTTGATTTCTTGCACATCCCCATACTCAACGTAAACCCAAACCCTGATTTTTCCTTCACCAAAATTGACAGATTTCTATGAGAATGTTGGGTCCATGTGGCTTCCTATAGGTCTCCCTGCAGTGTTTGTGATGATTGGGATGCAGGTCAACAGATGATTCATTGGAAAAATCTACCTTCTGACACTTTTCAAAATGACCAACTAGAAGTGATTATTTGTTACTCTTACAACTGCAATCGACTTTTGTCAGGTAGAGTATGTCCCAAAATATGTCACAAAAATCATTATAAACAAATTTCCCTTTAGGTTTTACTCCCAAATCACTCACTTTTTCATTCGCTTGGGATTGTATTTGACCTGATAAGCCCGTAGGATAAGTTTATCTGGGCAGCTATCGAACTGATGCGGAATCACCTTCTGAAAGTGCTGTGGTGAGATTGTGAGACAAACATCGGTTAAAATTATGCCATTATATGTGTTATCATGTGTTAAACACATAGCAGAGATGCTTTTGCTCCAACCTGCGACATTCCCTCCATGTCTAGCTGTATGAGGTCAGTCTGGTTGTACTGCAATATCGCTATTCCTACTCGAAATATGATTTCCAAACCCTGTGAAAACAACACACAGTATTCATATAGTCACAGGCTAGCAACTACAACAAACACACACTCTCTGAAATATTCACATCTCTAGTATTCACACAGCATGAAAACCCATCTGTGATAAATACACACAAAATCTGAACATGATAATACTTTACTTACCCTCACTAAGCTTTAAGGTGTTATATTTCCCTTACAGTAAAATAAATAGTATAGTATTTTCTCATAGTATTATTAGGACATACTGCAACCCAATAATAAATATCACATCAAGGATGCTTTAATATGCATAAAGTCTCTTGTGTCCATACCTCGTACATAAAGATGTCAAAGATACGTGTAGCTATTGGCAGGGGCAGGAAGGTGAGGAAGAGGGTGAGGAACCAGGACGAGGCGTACATGGATGTGTGGAAACTCTGAGAACGGAAATGTACGTTCAGCTCTGGCAACTGCTCCTGATCACACAGATGAAAACGGGGAAGATATACAAGTGAAAAAGTTAGTGAAAGATTTTTAAAAAAGATACTTCATGTTGACGTTTTGTGTTGTCTGTTTATGAACTATAAATCTGTTGCCCCCTTGTGGACAAACATGGCATTTCTCTAGTCTCAAGCATGCAGTAAGCTAAGCATACATATTTGAAATCAGCTCTATGTCGAAATAATCTGAGTTTGTGGCAGCAACAAACAAGACATGAATCATGTCTAGCATTTAAAGGGATAGTTCACCCAAAAATGAAAAGAATGTATCATACTTCAATGTTCAAACACGTAATGGGTTAGTAAGTGATGATAAAACTTTCAGATTTGCATTTAACTATTTTAGCCAATAAAACTGTACAATGGCCATGATGCTGAAACAAATTTACAGTCACCATATATTCAGACAGTATTCTGTCAAAGAAACGGTATAAAAGCTGCCACTGGCTGAAAAAAACACCATTTATATACTAACATCCACACTTTATGTATAGATATGCAACTTTCATACATTAATATATGCATACTTTGATGGTAATTAATGTAATGTAAGGAGTTTTTATCAAAAAAGATTTTGAAAAGTGAGTGATTTTGAACTTTTTTCATTAAATGATTGGTAGTGTCATTAGTTAATGAAAATTCTGATACAAGAATCATGGTTGTTGCAATATATATCTTTAAATTCAGCAGAGTAAAATTACAGTTAAAGACAAATAATGCTACTGAACATTCAAAAGCTGCGATAAAAAAAAAAGATGGTTTTCACAGTAATAATAATAACCACAAAAACATTTGTACATAATATTTTTCTTGTCCATCAAATCAGCATTTTACAATTATTTCTGAGGGATCACGTAGAAACTGTTTTCGTAATTTTTAAGGTACTTTAAAGGCATATTCATTCATTCATTTTTCTTCGACTTAGTCCCTTATTTATCAGCGGAATGATCTGACAATTATTTCAGCATATGTTTGACGTTGCGGATGCCCTTCCAGCCACTAACCAGTACTGAGAAACACCCATACACTCTCACATTCACTCATACACTACGGCCAATTTAGTTTATTCAATTCACCTTTACCGCATTTCTTTTGGACTGTGGGGGAAATCGAAGCACCCCGAGGAAACCCACATGAACATGAGGAGAACATGCAAATCCACACAGAAATGCCAACTGACCCAGCCAAGGCTTAAACCAGCAACCTTCATGCTGTGAGGTGACCATGCTGAGTCCTAACCACTGAGCCACTGTGCCGGCTTTTTTAAAGGGATAGTTCACACAAAAATAAAAATTCATCATTTTTTCTCCCATGTGTGGTTTTACCCTTTGAGTTTCTTTCTTTTGTTGAACAAAAAAGAAGATATTTTTTAAAATGCTGGTTGATATTGCTTATTAACTTCCATAGAAGGAAGGAAAATACAATAAAAGTTGATGGCTATATCAACCAGCATCTTGGAAATATCTTCTTTTAAATTCAACAGAAGAAAGAAGCTCAACTAGGTTTGGAACAATTTAGGGTGAGTAAATCATAGAGCTTTCATTTTTGCTTGAATTATCCCCTTAAATTGTAATAATAGTACAAAATGTTTGTAAGCAAATGGCACACTTTTATATCAGACTGTATCAACTTTTATATCACCTGTATTTCCAAGAACATTTTAATGCAGACCTGTATCACCCTGTATTATTCTGCATATTTGTCTTTCTTACCTGTAGCAAGTGTTCAAACTGGTAGATACACAGCCCCAGCTCAGCCATGCTTGGTTTAAACAGCTCTCGAAGTCTGTACTCCTGCATTAGTCTGACAAACACACAGAAAGCCTCCTCCTCCGGCATCTACGGTGAATAGTGAATTTGGTTTACGCAAAGTTTGGCTCAGAGACATTTCTTGACATTGTTTTAGCTCATCATGATAAGCAAAACGCAGAGGCAAACCTGCATAAGTAGCAATCCAACGATGAAGGCGCTGCCCTGACAATAACCAACTTCACGATCCACCAAAGAATAAGCCTGTGAGGTTGAGATACAAACATGTTAAAGACTTAATAATATTAAACAAACAAAACAATCATGCATCCTGTATATCATACGTATGAGAATATAGCAATGGTACAATTTAAGTAATTTCGAGAGGAGCATGTGATATGATTGATCGTGGCCGTTATCAGCACTAATCTAATCAGATTGATCCAAGCCTACAATAAATAGACAGATTTTACCCTATTGCCTATCTTTGTTTTGGAAGAATCCCCCCTTCCACCCAATCTCCTCCTTTTACCAGTTGGAGCTCTCAAGACCTACCTGATCTCGGACCTTCTTAATGCTAATCGACCAGGCGAAAGCCCTGGGCTCAATTATCTCCGAGCTCATGGTTTTCTCCTGGGACAGCATGCCAATAGCGTCAAGCAACATCTAAGTGTGAACTCTTGAAGAGACCAATAAAAACTTGGATTTTATTTAATGTATGGCTTTGATCAATAATAAATCAATCAATACTATTTATTAATCATAAATCAATACTCATTTATTCTTTAACACTGATTTCATTTTTTTCAAATTTCTAATAAAAAATATTGTCTTTTAGAGATCTTTTTGTTTAAAAAAAAGACAATTGGTTAGAACAAAGACCTTTGTTGAAAAGAGTTATTTCACCACATATTTAACTCATCTGCTGTTGAAATATTTGTATTATGATGCCTAAAAAATAAATATCAACAAGATACATTTAATTTAAATTTGAAAAAAATAAAATAGTGATTATAGAATAAAACCAATATTAACATTTCACACAAACGATAAGCTGTAAAACCAGAGATTTGAGAATAAAAATATACATGGGGCATTGTACCAGAAATGTACAGTATCTGTCCCCAAAATAAAAACATAAATACAGTGAATAAAAAGTATTTCATCCCAGAAAACTTCTAAATAGGACTGATGGTTGATTTCTGTGAGTTCCTGTAAAGGAATATATCATTCATTTGGTTCTCAGATTTTTGTTCTTTATTAAAAACACTTGACAAATGTACAAACCCTGTCATTGACCATGTCCTCAGTGAAATGGAACCTACAGTACAACTTTAATAGTTTTGTTATGCTAAAAACTGTTCAGAAAAAAAAAAACTTCAGAAATAGAAAGTTTAAATTGTTATCATGCAAATCAATCAATAAATTCTACAAATAAACACTATTTTATCATTGGCCCCCTGTTTCTGTCAGTCCTGTCACATTTGCATTAAATTTAACCTAAAATGTGTTCAATACACCTTTAAAGCTACTCTGTAAAAACAGTTGGGTTAAAAATACCCCAACATATAACCCAACTATAGGTTATTATAGAACCTTCCAAACTATGGGTTATTTTAACCCATTGCATTGCATTATTTAATTTTTCCCAATGCATTGAGTTATTTTGATTAAATGTTATTGTTTCCATTCTTAGATTAGATTAGAATGTCTTTATTCTGGTATTACTATTACTAATTAATTTTATGATTATGGCTGTGTAAATAAATAAATGTCTCCTCTGGGTCCTAAAGGTGAGAATGAGGTGCTGAATATCTCAAATATGTGTATCATTTCCTCCAAAAAAAGAAGAAAAAAAACTGTAGAGATGAACAGGAAGGAGAGAAAGTATTTTATTTGTTTAATATAGATCGGTTGAAGCCTGTGTTTATATCATCAATAATTAAGAGTGCTGGTGAATTGGATGTAAAAAAAACTGGACACAGAGAGCTAATTTGAAAAAAAAATTGTTATTGTATTAGAGCTTAAATAAACTTTATAATGCAAAAACAACATTACACAGGCATATTAATACAGCTATTCTGTATCAGTTAAATCAGCTGACTGTTGAAATTCAAAATTTTAACCCAACTGATTAAGTTATTATATAAATAACCAAGTAAAGGGTTAAAATAACCCAACAAAGCACAAATTATTTAACCCAACTGCTTGAATATTTATAAATAACCTAATAAAGTTTAAAAATAACTCAACAAAGCACCAAATAGCACCAAACTCAACCATTGGGTTAAATAAATAACTCAACATTTTTTAGAATGTATGAATCAAAGGAAGTGACATCATTTGACGGAGGAGAAGCTGACATTCTATCATTGAATTGTATGATTTTATGCATGTTTTTGTATGATTTTTTTTAGGAGGACAAGCTTAAAGGTCAAGCTCGTCACATTTTTCATAGGTGAAATGTATATTTCTGAAAGAATGTCCTACATATATTTCATTAAAATGAAATCAAAAGTAAAAACAGTTATTACTTTACTTTAATACAGTAACTAACTTTCATAGAATTTATTTATTTCACCGAAAAAAAATTAAATTGTTCAATAGAAGTAATAACAATAAAATCTAAGTAAAAAATACTTGTTTAATCGACTTATATAAAATGAGTTGAAACAACACAATTCTGAATTTCTAAATATTAATATATGATAATTATATAAAATATAATTATATACTAAAATAAAATATATTATATATTGAAATTAAAATATATTATATATTTTGGAACACAGCATTTTTAGTCTAACATGCTGCAAATATAAATAAAAATGCGCATTTGAAAGAACATGAGCTTAAATAAAGGATGACAATTTAAATCAATTAATAAATAATTTTCTTTCTGTTTGTAAATCAATAATGTGTGCACTCATTATCAGTCCTGTGCTGCTCTCTCTTGCTGTCATGACCCGTTTCTGTCTTTCTCACCTTCATGACATTAAACAGCACTTCCTGTCCCAGGCTGTCCTGGCCTTTGAAGAAGTCATGTTCGGGATAGGTGCGGGCGATATCTCTGCGTATGAGTTTTTCACAGGGCGAGGACATCTTCAAGAGTTCAGAATACTGATTCTTCACAGGCATATCAGTGGCATTGCATAACAACTGCCAAACGATTGCTCGGAAATGATGAGGGATGCCTTTTCTGATGAGCTCCTGCAGAAACGGAGGGTGAGGCACAAAAAGAGAGATGAATGTACAAGTTTCAGATCCTGTACATCTTTGAAGCTAGCATTAATGATGTAAGCAGATAGCTATTCAGACTCAGAATAAATGCATGATAGTGGATTTTTGCGAATATCCAGTAAGCTAATATATTTAAATGACTTTTAGTTAATGGCTGATGCTGATATACACTCACTAGCCACTTTATTAGGTACATCTTATAAGTACCAAGTTGGACCCAAGTTGCACTTTATGACATGGCATGTTATCCTGCTGAATGTAGGCATCAGACAATGGGTACACTGTGGTCATAAAGGGATGGACGTGGTCAGCAACAATACTCAGGTAGACTGTGGTGTTGACATGATGCTCAATTGGTATTAATGGGCCCAAAGTGTGCCAAGAAAATATCCCCCACACCATTACACCACCACCACCAGCCTGAATTGTTGATAAAAAGGCAGGATGGATCTCTACCATATAAATGTGGCAGCAGAAATTCCAATCTCATATTGTTCAATTTTGGTGAGCCGGTGTGAATTGTAGCCTCAGTTTCCTGTTCTTAACTGACAGGAGTGGCACCCGGTGTGGTCTTCTGCTGCTGTAGCCCATCTGCCTCAAAGTTGGAAGTGTTGTGCATTCAGAGATGCTCTTCTATAGACCTCGGTTGTAACAAGAGGTTATTTGAGTTATTGTTGCCTTTCTATCAGCTTAAACCAGTCTGGTTGTCCTCCACTGACCTCTGGCATCAACAAGGCATTTGCGCCCTCAGAACTGCCACTCACTGGATATTTACTTTTCTTCTTACCATTCTCTTCAAACCCTAGAGATGATTGCGCAAAAAAATCCTAGTAAATCAGCAGTTTCTGAAATACTCAGACCAGCCCGTCTGGCACCAACAACCATGCCACATTCAAAGTCACTTAAATCACGTCTTACCCATTCTGATGCTCAGATTGAACTGCGGCAGATCGTCTTCACCAGGTCTACAATCCTAAATGCATTGAGTTGCTGCCATGTGATTGGCTGATTAGAAATTTGCGTTGAAGAGCAGTAGGACAGGTGTACCTAATAAAGTGGCCGGTGAGTGTATGTATTTTGGGGAATCACTGTTTAAACTACATAATATACAGGCAAAAAACTTTGAAAATGGGTTTCAAAGCACGTTTTTGAAAATGCCACCATTATCACTTCCTTGTAAACAACCAATATGGGAATCTTTGGAAATAATGACATATATAATGAAAGTGTAGATTTATCATACCAATATTTCAATCAGCAACAGAGATGATTTATATACCCACAGCAAATTTTAAATAAACCGTGTGCCAAAAAAACACGTTTTTAAAAGACGTTTCTGGATTAGACCTGTAATAATACAGCTGCGTCCCAAATCGCATACTTTTGCACTATTCTACGCCATTTTGTAGTATAAATAGTGTAAGTAGTGTGTTCACACTGAAAACTCAAAAAAAAAAAAAGTAAGTGCACTTTAATTACGCGGATGATGCACTTATTCAGCCGCTAAAATGAAGTGTGGAATGATGGACACTTCACGCACTCAACGACCGCAGGTTTGCTTACGTAGCGAAAGAGGCGGAGCTATCGGGCGCACATGTTGAATAACTTTATTTATTTTGGATGGTGAGAGCAAAATTCTTCTACGAGAGTGATTATAGCGCCTCCCGATGGTAAATGCGGCAATACTTAAGGCAGGTATTATTTGATAATTCGGTTGTTTATTTCACTGATTTGGCAACCGTCAAACGTCATCAGGGAAACAGTTTGAATTTCCGCTTAGTAAAAAAACATTAGTGTGCCATTTGGGACGCCACTACATACATGTACTATCCTGTTGAGTGTGTAAGTGCATAAGTACATAGTGCATGAGTGCATAGTGTATAGTGTGCCATTTGGGACGCAGCTCAAGTGTTTGGTGAGTTGTCACTTCCCTACAGGTACTGTTTACTAACAAGGTGACAGCGCCAACTACTGGCCTGGCATAGGTAATACAGCATTATTGGCTGATTTTGCAGATGTGTGTAAATGTAAATTATTTTTAAAATGTCATGTAAACACAACCACAAAAAGTTTTTCCCTCCATCAGGTAAGTGTAGCCTTGGATGCAAAGTGTTTTCATATTCAAGTGTCATTTCTGAATCACTGTTTAAACTACATAATATACAGGCAAAAAAAACTTTGAAAATGGGTTTCAAAGCACGTTTTTGAAAATGCCACCATTATCACTTCCTTGTAAACAACTAATATGGGTATCTTTGGAAATAATGACATATATAATTAAAAAAAATCTAACTAATAGTGATATGACACTTACAGTGCCCGCATATAAATAAAACTGGTGGACAGTAGGACCTAGGGAGGCTGTTAGTGTTGCAAGGGCTGCTGAACACACTGGACTAGTAACAGTTAGTACATAACTTAATGACAAGTGTTGTAAACTGAATCAATCTGTACTTCAATTCGCAATTTCAAGTTGGCATTCATGAAAAGTTTAATATAAAGGTAACAATTTACCTCAAGAATGTTTAGATTAGTAACCCAATCTTACTACTAGCATATTGGGCCAACAAATAAGCTGTTGCAGGTTCATAATCAACACATCATTGGTCTATTTTTCCACATCAGGCTAAAATCAAGACAAAATGTTCCGATAATATAATTCAACCCTTAAAGACAGCCCAAGTAATCACCTTTAAAAGCTTGTCCTTCTTTCGTCTCCACTCATCCCACTCGTTGACAATGCGTCCCCACAGGATCCAGGTGTCTTCCTCCAGCTGGGACAGGTTGGAGGAGGCAGATGAGCTTGACACCAGAGAGGAGCCGCTGTTCCTCCGAGAGCCACTCATTGATCGCATGGACTTGGAATCTGCTTCTAGCAACCTGAATGCAACAAAATAAAGGGAAATTAGTGTGCACAGGTGATAGAGTGGACAATCTGCACCCAAATAGATTTTTCGGTTTCTGTAAAGACGGCTGAACAGATGTAATTAATCAATCAACAGTAAACTGAAACCTTTAAGATTCTTAGGAAAGACATGTGTTTTTTTTTTTTACTTTTTATTCATCAAAGCATCCTAGAAATATATGATGGTTTCTGAAAAAACAGAGAAAAACTGTGTCCAAGCAGGGGTTTTCAATCTTTTAGAGGCCGCAGACCTACAAATATGTGAGGAACATCACCCTGACATCTAAAATCATTGATGGAATTTATTGTGTAAAGACTTGAAAAAAAGCTAAGAATAAAGGTGTAAAGTATTATTTTGAAAATGTTAAGCTAAGACATTTCCTATACTATTGAATTTATTCATTCATTTACACATTTGTTAACTATTTTTTAAATACATTGAGTAATTTATTTATTTGACTTTTAGTTAATACTTTTTCTGTACTTATTATTTAGCAATGCTTTATGCTTTTATTATTTATTATGTATCTTAATAAAGTGTTTGATTATTTAATGTTTGATAAAACATTTTTAAATTCTTTTTTTTTATGTAGTATAATATAATATGTAGTATAGTATAATAATAATAATTTGTTTTATATACTTGTCTTTAAATATTTCCATGGACTCCCCAGTACTCCCTTGCAGCCCTCCTAGAGGTTCCCGGCCCCACTTTCTAAAAAATTGTGTGACAGACTAGAGTGGCTTTGCCATTAAATTATTGTCAAAACACATTAATATAATAACAAACAATGATTATACATCCAATTTTTTTCATATTGTTTCTTTATTTTGATCAGATAAATGCAGCCCAAATTTTGTTTGAACTATTACCACTGAGCTCCTGGATTTACCCAACAGAAGAGCATACCTTTTATAAATTGACTTTAATATATTACTACACTATATACAATACTATTTCAATTGATATTATTTTGGATGATATCACAGAAACAAATAACTTTCTACATTTTCTAATCAAAAACAGTGACTGTCTGTGAAAAAGTCACCTTCACAATGCTAGTAGCTCCCTGCTGTATGTTTCCTAAGCTTTGTTGGGTGGTTGTAGGATCTGAGTGGCTGCTTGTTGGCCCAATGTCAAAACAGGCCACCTCATGCCTCTGTGATATTCTGGCCACTAAACAAGACTTCTGATTTAAAGGCACAGTCACATTAGCAGCATTTCCATCACATTTTGCTGCAAAAAAAAAAATAAAAAATACTGTCTCAAAAGACAAGAGTCTTTTTTGTACAAGAGTCTAACATCTCCTAAACGCACTGTACATGAGTTTCTTTTTTCAATGTAAAGGAACTTTCATAATGAATCAAGTGTAGAAAGATGCATGAATTAAAGCCCACAGAGCAGTCAATTTTGTACCAAGCAAGAAACTTGAGGTGAAATCTGCACAGAAAATTGTTCATCAAACACAAAATTTCCAAAATCACAAATTGCTGGTAAAATGGCTGCAAAAATGTCACAGAGCAACAGTAAAGGTGACTGTGTTTTCTCCAGGTTTTATCATCTGAAAGTCTGAATACATCTAAAGTCTGCTAAATGTCACGTCTGTGCAGCACAAATCGAGTGGGACACAAAGTTCGTTCAAATTCCAACTCTGACTATGAGTAATAGTAAGTGATGGTTGCCTTGGTGCACACCGCAAAACACAATACAATTTTTTTTAAATACAGGTCAAAGATTTAAAAGAAATTCCCTGTACATTAATATGAGGCCCGTACTTCAAGCCAAAAAAATAAATAAATCACGATCAAACGTTTATCTTGATTTAGGGAATGCCAGCAAGTCTACATTTTTATTACAAAATAAATTTAGTTATTTTTAGAAAAAGAATAGTTGATGGCATTTTAAAATACTTCACAATGCAGCCCTATATTATTAATTCATGGCATATTTATTTATTTTCCTTCTAACCACCTTTTTACCCATTTGTAGACTTATATAGGTACAGGTCAAAATTAGCATCTCTTAAATTTTTATTTAGCATAAATATATGAAGAGTTCAGATTCAAAACTCTCCAATGCCGTCTGATATTTTCTTCTAAACTTAGATTTTTTTCAGGATACTGTGTTTTAGCCAGTTATTTCACTTTTATGACTATTAGTATGTTATTTTCGTTACCTTTAAAGTGAAATAACCAATCATAAACATAGGAGACTGAGAAAAAAGCTTATTTTAGAAGAAAATTTTAGATGGCATTTAGAGCATAGATCTCACCACTCCATTCCTGGAGGGCCACAGCTCTGCACAGTTTGTCTTCAACCCTAATCAAACACAGCTGATCCAAATAATCAAGGTGTTTAAGACTACTAGAGACTATGTGGCAGGTGTGAGTTGGAGCTGGTTGGAGCTAAACTATGCAGAGCCGTGCTGTATCCCTCTGGGAATTGAGTTTGAAACCATTGATGGACATTTACACTAATATAATTTAGTTTTAAACGCATAAGTTTTGCTGCTACTGCCCCATCCGTCAATACTATGCCGGAGTTTTCGAGCGCCGAAAACTAAGCTTTTTGAAAACGCTGAGGAGGCCATTTCCATTTTAAAATGCTGCTTCTTTGTTTTAGCGTGGATAGGGGAAAATGGAGACATCTGAATACGGAGGCGGACATCTGATTGGTGCTTTTTCCCCAATATTAAGTAGTCTACAAACAGTTCAGTCTTGCATCCTTTTCTTGTAAGTTCAAACTTACAAAACAAACTCCCGAGGACACGTCAGGTAAATCTTAAAACCGGAGCACCCGGAGGAAACTCAAGCCAACACAGGAAGAACATGCAAACTCCATGCCATCTGACCTAGTCGGGGCTCGAACCAGCAACCTTCTTGCTGTTAGGTGATTGTGCTACCCACTGCGCCACCGTGCTGCCGCTGAATAATTAATAAAGCTATATTTCATTGGTTTATATAATCATTATTAGTGTTTTTAATTAATAATTGAATAAAGCTCATTAAAGCTATCTGCATGAATACTTTCTGACAAACATTAAAGTTTAGGATGGGTATTTCGGGTAAATAACCTAGTCAAAATACAGAATGCTTACACTACATTTTGTGGCCACCACTGCTGAAATCTTCAACGGCTCGTTGAAGTTCACCATTCAGCATAGCAACCCTTTGTATTGTTGTTGTTGTCAAGCAACCAACACAACTGATTAATAGTGAAAGCTTGTTACGTATCAGCTGTTACAGGAAGAGGAGACGGCTGTGAGCTTCACACTATGCCATGCACAGGTCAAATGATAAACCACAAACTCGCGGAGCTTTCTGTCTCAGACACAAACAGCGGCTCTGACACCTTCAAAGTTAAGTTTGTAGACACACACACGCACGCAAACACACACACACACACACACACACACACACATAATGTGCTGCACTTCGATAATCATTTGATATTGCAGACACTTGCTCTGAGCGGTTACCCATTTGCGCACATTCACCTACTTCCAAATAATAAACACAACGCCGTTTCCATACAGGTCTGAAACAAATCTGTTTCCATTAAACGCAATATTTAATTAATATAGAATATCCTGCTGACTTGTGTATATAAAAACATATTAAGCTTATAAATTGCAATAAAAGTATAACAGATGCATAATAAAAGCCCTTTTTATGCCTCAAATGCCTATGCACACTTAGGGCAGTAGCTATTCATTCATTTTGGCTTAGTCCCTTTATTAATCCGGAGTCGCCACAGCGGAATGAACCGCCAACAGTAACTATAGTTAATATAAAACAACAGCTGAATCACTTCTACACTGAAGCTAAACACTGTATGTGAAGTGTGTTTGTGAATTTAAGTCCTGTTTACAATTGTTTAAGACCCACAAGACAAAATTTCAGTGAAGTTAAGTGTTTCTAAGGCCTAAAATAAATTTTTTAGACATTTTTAGACTTTTTAAGACCCTCGGACACCCTGTGTAAGACCTTTCATATTTGAGTGAACTGTTTCTTTATCTGATCACTTCCGATCTGTCTGCATGTATAGCTCTCATCCTACCTGTTCTGCTCCTCCAGTTTAGCCAGAAGCTCGAGCTCATCTGGACTGAGGTTTTCGGAGTCAGCTGGGGAAGCGGCAGGGGCGGAGAGAGCGGCATCATGGGAACTGGAATCTGGACTGAGCACCGGGCTGCCAATAAACGGCGGGTCAATTTCTAAACCGGCAGGCGAGTTGAGGTCCTCCAGCTGAACTGAACCTGCCATCCCCCCCTCTCTCTCTGGGCTGCTGCTTGGGCTGGACATGATGGAAGAATCCGAGACGAGAAAGGTCAAGTGATGTGGAGATCTGGAAGGATCTGTCTCACAGGAGGACGCTGTGGACAGGGACAGGCCTTCTTGAAGACGTCTTTATTAGGCCTGCATTAATCTGTGGAAACAAAGGAAGAATGATTATGTACTGCAGGGCTGTATGCTTTTGATTTTGATTAGTAATCATTCAGATGTTATGATGAGACAACTTTAGTGTCATTTTCTGATCTCTAGACTGCAAAAACAAAGAATAAAAGGCACAATTATTTTCTGGTGGGAAAATATGATAAGCAGATAAGATAAATTTGATATTTAAAATAAATTAAGCAATATTTAGATGTCTCAATTCTATTCTAAACTCATAATTCTCTCTAATTTTGATAGAAATTGATTATTTACAATTAAGAGCTACTGATAATGTACTGATGTGTGACAGGATAAACGTGCTGAATGATTTGCATTATCACTAGTGACAGGTGATTCTTGAATTATAAACATCATGTCTGTTGTCCTAAGATGCATTAATTGTGTCAGGTTTCTATTTATTTCTTGTGCTTTATGTTAAAACTGCCCTTTTATGAATTGTCTGTCACCGAAATGGCCCCCCGCCAATTTGAGTTTGAGACCCCAGATTTAAAGAAATTAGAGTAACAGTAGTACCTTGTTTTGTGTTCAACAACAACAACAAAAAAACTGACATAATACAACTTAACTAACATAACTAATGATGTCCATAATAGGTAAAACAAATACTATGGAAATCAATGATTACAGGTTTTAAGCATTTTTCAAAATATCTGGGTTTTTTTTGTGTGTGTGTGTGTGTGTGTGTGTGTGTGTGTGTGTGTGTGTGTGTGTGTGTGTGTGTGTGTGTGTGTGTGTGTGTGTGTGTGTGTGTGTGTTCAACATAAGAAAGAAGCTCATAATAGTTTAGAACAAGTTATGTGTGGGTAAATGACAGAGATTTCATTTTTTGGTGAACTATCCCTTTAAGACATCAATACATTTACATCCACATCCCATCTCAAGCTCAGACTGTCAACTGCACATTTCCAAGATATGAAACATGCATGACAACAACTTCAAAAAGATACACTTCAATCAATGCCAGCTCGCACTGATTTTTAAAACGCCAAGTCAGCGAAGCTGTTCCAAAAACACAGTTGAAAATGGCTGCATAGCATACTGTATGTGAACTGTGTGCTTTGTGCAGCACCAAAACAATAAGCTATGTGTGTGCGCATAAACAAACCACACAAACAGACAGAGCAGCTAAAGCCCCAGCCAAAGCTATTAAAAAAAGAAGGAATGCATGTGTGCTTTGTTTAAAAGAAATAAATAAATGGATGGATGACATGGATATAAAACTCTCAAATGTTCAAATATCCCTAAAGACAAACAAATTATTATGTTCAGTCATGGGAAACAAACGTGGAGCTCAGTATGGCACCAAAATAAGCTTTATTTGATGTATATTCTCACATTGTCTGGAATTTGACTGAACTGTAACAGGTCTGGTTTACACTTCTGGTTATTCTGGCTAAAAAACATCCACTAGACAGGAAGAGACGCCTGACCAACATAAACCAGAGCTCAATTTGTTTTTTATTTGCTGTTTAAGGGCTGGGTTAACTGAAATAGAACAAACAAGTGTAAAATAGCTGGGTTCCACAGAGGACTGCACAATATATGGTTTCACCATCCATTTCACAATGCGTGTATCTGCAATAGTCACATCTCAGGATCTGCAATGTAGAGTTGGGATTATAATTTATGCAGAGTTTAATCCTAATGGAGTAAAATTTTATCATCAGCATTCATTTTTAAAGTGGCGGTTCACCCAAAAATGTGAAAAAACTTTGCTCACTATTTTTATTTCACCCTTCACTTATTTCATCTTCATCTTGAACACAAAAAAAGATTTCATTCATTTATTTTCCTTCAACTGGGACGCCACAGCGGAATGAACTGCCAACTTATTTACCATATGTTTTACACAGTGTATGCCCTCTGCAACCCAGTACTGGGAAACATGCATATACACTTATTCACACTCATACACTACGGCCATTTTAGTTCATGAATACAGTTAGACTCTACAGAAACCAATACTGAAGGGGACCTATTTAACCTCTTTTACAAGACAAAGAAGAGTAGTGTCTGTAAATGTGTATGTAAAGTGTCAGCACAAAATACCCTTCTGATTCTTTATTATGTAATGTAGAATCTGCCCGTTTTGGTGTCTGCGTACAGTGTAGCTGTTTTTGTAGCCTGTGGCTTTAAATGCAAATGAGCTGCTTTTCCCCACCACCGTTCCGGTGTGCGTGTCTGCGTCTCATCATGTGTTACGTTAGATAAACAGCAGTCAGTGACAGAGACAGACAATGATTAGCTGAAATAAGGTCACGAGTCAAAAATACCAAGTAAGTTTTTTGTTTATTTGTGGTGGTGTCTATTCAAGCCTTTCTGAAAGGATGAGTCTCACACAAATGCCGTTTGCAGTACACATGCACCATGCGTAATGTGTAATGACACCATGCGGCCATTGTGATTATATTGGTTAAGAATTAGAGAGCGATTTTACTGTTTTTATTATAAACATGCAGTTTTAACATTTTAAACTTATAAAACTAACTAATAAGGAGCAGATGATCAAAGAGTTGTCACAGACATATGTTTTAATCCCAGTTTCTTTGCAAAAAATATCCTTCTGATGTGTATACAGTTGAAGTCAGAATTATTAGCCTTCCTGAATTATTAGCCCCCCTGTTTATTGTTTCCCCCAGTTTCTGTTATACAGAGAGTTTTTTCAACACATTTCTAAACATAATAGTTTTAATAACTATATATATATATATATATATATATATATATATATATATATATATATATATATATATACATATATATATATATATATATATATATATATATATATATATATATATATATATATAAAATATCTCTAATAACTGATTTATTTTATCTTTGCCATGATGAAAGTAAATATTATTTGACTAGATATTTTTCAAGACACTTCTATACAGCTTAAAGTGACATTTAAAGGCTTAACTAGGTTAATTAGGCAGGTTAGGGTAATAAGGAAAGTTATTGTATAACGATGGTTTGTTAGATTATCAAGAAAAAATAAATAGCTTAAAGGGGCTAATAACTTTGACTTTAAAAGGGTTTTTGAAAAATTAAAAACTGCTTTTATTCTAGCCGAAATAAAACAAATAAGACTTTCTCCAGAAGATAAAATATTATCAGACATACTGTGGAAATTTCCTTGCTCTGTTAAACATAATTTGGGAAATATTTTAAAAAGAAAAGAAAATTTAAAGGGAGGCTAATAATTCTGATGAAAGGGATTTGGATCCTATTTTAACATTAAAAAATGTATAAATAAAAAAGAGACTTATTCTGTTTCTATTACCCCAATATGACTGCGGACAGACTATACCAATATATATATACACCCCGCTCCCAAGTGCCTAAATGTAAATAGCCAAAACAAGTCAAACACACACACAAAAACGCTCATACCATAATAGAGAGTGCAACATACAGAACGATAGCCCACAGATAAAAATAAAATCCAAGATGATGAGACCTATTTAAACAAAGTAAACACGCATTGTGCACAATGGCAGTATTCACATCAGAGCAGCAGTCCAATCAAAAGAACCATTAACAAGCACATGAATCCAATCCCCCCCGACCAAGAAAACACAAACACACTCTTCTCACTCATCTGCAGCCAGTCGATGCAGTGCGCTCGCAACCAAACACAACCACAACATTCTGAACCTAGCAATAAAAAATATAGCTTTTACAATTAACATCATGACATTTAATTATGTAGCTCAGAATTATTATTAATATTATTCTGTAATATTAATAATAATTGTCTTCATCCACATCACTATCATCATTTTTCCTTTTCTTTTTTTAAAGCTGAAGAGTGATTTTTTTGGATAAAAAACTATTGGCAAAACGGTATGTCTTTACTCTTGAAATTCCTTTAGCTGCCACTAGAGGTGCACAAATTGTTTCCTACTCCAATAGATTTCAGCAGCTGGCTGCTGTATAAATGAGAGAGAACAATGCAGCATCTCTATAACACAACCACACAGCAATTCTACTGTAAACCACAACAACAACAACAACAACAACAGCATCTCCCACTACAATGAAAACCTCAGATTTAGGACAACTGCTACAATCTTTTGAAGATATTTATTTTTTGTCAACAACCCCCCAATTCACTATCGCTGAAACATTTGAGATCATCTCCAGTATGGATCTGAAACACATTAATTCTCACTTAAAAACGGAGCATGTCAGCTGGAAATAGCAATAATCAGAGATGCAAATGCATTATCATCTTGGTTATGGCATAAAAACAGTGTGTAAGTGTGTGTGCTTGTGTGCCTTAGTCACAAATAACAATAACACCACTGTGCTTGCTGCATCTGTCTCATTCTTGCCTTGATGAGCAGCATAAGTGTGGTTATTGTAGCTCTTAGCAGAGTGTCAGTCTCTCTCTTTTCACACACACACACACACACACACACACACACACACACACACACACACACACACACACACACACACACACACACACACACACACACACACACACACACACAAGCACACGCACACACACACACACACACACACACACACACAAACACACACACACAATTTTTTCATGATGAAATCACCTGCATTCTTCATCCACAAACTTCTACACAAGGTCCGAAACTTTCTTTTGGACAGTACAGTGGCTGGTGAATTGAGAAAATATAATATATACATGGGCGACACTTTGGCTCAGTGCTCGCGTCACAGCAAGAAGGTCACTGGTTCTTGTCCCAGTTGGGTCAGTTGGCATTGCTGTGCAGAGTTTGGATGTTCTCCCAGTGCTCACATGGGTTTCTTTCCAGGTGCTCTGGTTTCCTCCACAGTCTTTGACATGCGGTATGAGTGAACTCTACAAACTAAATTGGCTGTAGTGTATAGGGCATCACACACTGGATGCGCCGCTCAGCGCCGCGACATGGCGCGCACATGACAGTAGAAAATATCACACACCAAATGCGCATATGGTATTTA